ACATTTTCGGAATATTCAAAAAATAGGAGTGTCAGCATTTTTTTCGGAAATTTACTGTACTCAAAACACTTCCGACCCCTCCCCTTTAAATGCCAAAACACCGCCATTAAGTTGAAAGTCTGGATAAAGAAAATGGAATGTTAAAATTAGAAAGCTTTATCCATCCTTTCATCCGTCCATTTTCTAAAGCGCTTATCCTCATATCAGGGTCAGGGGTGAGCTCAAGCCTATCCCGACTGAGTTTGGGCAAGAAGCATGTGTACACCCTGAACTGGTCGCCGCCCAATCTGCGGGTACATTGCAAACAAACCAGACTCATACTCACATTCACATTTGTGGGGAATTTTTGTGTTTTTGATTGACTGAGAACACATGTTTTGGGAAAGTGGGAGGGAGCCAGAGTACCTGCAGAAAACTGGAGAGATCATGAAAACTCAACAAAGCCCGAGTCGAGATTTGAAGCCCAAGCTGCCCCAAAACCAGGAACATGATCAAAAACAAGGGAAGGAAAACACGAAACTGAAATCTGAGTGTAATTTCAAACATAAAAAACACATCCAATTGAATATTGTATGCCCAAATTTAACAGCAGTGTTCTGGCTTCATACTATTCCAGTCCAGGATGATTGGACTACACTCCATTTTCTTGTTTTCACCTCAGAAATAGCTTCTATACAACGGTAAACCGCTATTTGCTAAAATATTTTGACAAGTGTAGGCAATCATGGTGGAGATAAGCTGCATCCAGCGCAGGTGCATCGCTGCACCCTTCGACACACCGAGAGAGAATTAATGATGGCGATGTGTTCGAATGGCTCCCAGCAAATGCATTTCCTCCTATATTTTCTTCCACGGGAACCAAACAAAGAAGGCACTAGGCGCCGGATGCTTTATAATTAACAAGCGAGCGCGACAGAATCTGTGAAAACGACACGTGGCGCCCGAACAGATGGCGCGGGGCCACACGAACACAGTAATGAAGTTCAGTGGGGTTTTTTTTTGTTTTTGAGGGTGGAGGGGGGGGGGGCATTCAGCGAAGGCATTACATTTCATTTACCCTGGCAACTCACACCTGATTTATTTGCACATGTACTGACTGCGCTGCCGGCAGAGCCCATTTCATTTGCCGATAAATACTCAAATATTCAACACTCAGCCCTCACTTGTGTAATTGTGTAATATTCTCTTCACAAGGATCATCTACAGCATGTTGATGATTGGTTTTTTTTTTTTGGTTTTTTTTTTTCCCATCAAGGGGGTAACACCAGCCATATGTTGAACTGGCAAATATGAACACATAACTATGCAGGCAAACAAGCTGTGCCTGTGTAAAAAGCAACCGAAATCAAGACATATTTTGTTTTTAGTGGAGCGTTGCTTTGCTTGGGGGGGTAGCCGAGAGGCTGTAACTTGGATTGTTCACTCCAGGGCTCTTCCTACTGTTGTGAAGGTCTCAAACTCAAGGCCTGGGTCCCAGACCACTTTCTGGGGACCACGAAAAGGTGGAAATACACTGTATTACAGTGTCCCCTGACAAAATCACAATTCACACACAATGGCTTGCCTTAAATCAAATCTCACGTTGCATTGTAGCCAACAGTAGAATGTGGCTCTGCAAGTGATGTGCATGTTTGAATTAAGTAGATTCAAAGGACATTTTTTTTTTTTTAAGTGTACCGCCATTTAATCCAGTCTGGCATGCAAAAACAAATAAAAGCACTGACGGACTGACATAAAAACCTCCAAAACATTGAAGCTGCACATTCACAATGTATAACAACAAACATTTTTCCATCATGGTCGTCAAAGACATACAGGAACACACATTTCTCGATGCTTTTGACACCTCAGGCAGGCTTTAACAAAAGCAAGGATTTGCTTTTTTTGCAGCTGCAAAAAGATCTTCGTTTGCTTTTCCATCACACCACTAAATCCATGAATCCTTCATGTTTTTTTTTTTTTTTTTGCGTTTTTTTGAAGCTCTTTTAAAAGAAGCCCCTAGCAAAAGTCGTATTGGACGTTGCTGCTCCTTTGTTGGGCTGCCAGGGAAGCGTATGATGTCAAAGCATTTCAAATAAGACTTAACCTCTGCCTTTGTCATCAGCAGCTATTAGATGTTTGAGGACGATAGAGCACTTCAGCTGGAATCACACCGCTTTGCCACAACACGCACTTGACATTTTGGCACCTACAATAAGCCTTGCACTCTCAGTCACAATCCATCGGCAAATGAAAACACTCAACTTTCATATGGTCGTAAATTATGCATGTCTGTTCAGCAATTAAAGTGTTTAAAGTGGTCCGTGCCCCAAAAAAGTGCACAACCGGTTCCCTTTCACATTGGATCGGACAGGGGGAGAAACACGTTTTCTGACAAATGATTGATGGAGAATAAATGTCATGCGTTTCCTTTTTTTTTTATTGTGAACTGTCAAAAGAGGTAAAAAAAAAAAAAGAAGCAATCAATGTCTACTTTTTTATTACGATTTCAAGTGGCAAGCAAAGTAACCTAGCTAGTTAGCAGCTAACTAACTAGCATGGTAAGCTAACTAAACAGTTCAAATCCTCTATGAGTGCTCCTTTTTTTTTTTATTCTTTCTTAGAATTATTTGAGTCATCGGTGCAACTTGGATGATAGGTGGCCCCAACCCAGAGGGGGACTACCTGACACTCGGATGAGAAACACTGACTCATTGCAATGTGACAAATAAAATCATCCAGTGTCTACCTTATGATAACTAGCGCTAGCCGGTCTGTCTCGGGAGACAGGCAGATATGGTGTTTCTTTTTCTTTTTTTTTTGTAATTGAGTATCTCCTTGGCGGCACGGTGAACGAGTTTAGGGTGTACCCTGCCTACTGTCCGAAGACAGTTTGGATAGGCTCCAGCATGCCCGCGACCCTTGTGAGGATAAGCGGTTTGGAAAATGAACGGATGGATGAAATATCTCCTGGAATTCAGGCACATGGTCACCATAGCAATGTGTTGCACATGCTCCTGACGTGACGTGATCTTTGGTTTGTGAAACCAGCCAGACACGCCGCCTGCGTGTCAACCGTAATGCCCACAGTTCCCAGTGGAACGAAAGGGGTATGAAAGGTCGACTAGGGGTTAAAATGTCTCCTACTGCTAAGTAGAGACATCATTCATTTTGTTTCGCTCCCAATGCTACATCTGTGACATGCAGCTGGAGGCTGGAGTTCAGTGTATATTCCCCCGCGGGCTTTATGAAGCCGTTACTCTGTAAAGTTTATGAAGCATTGACAGCATTTCCTGGTGACTGAAGTGACTTCATTTGCAACACAGTTAAGCAAAATAGTAAAAGAATGGTAGTCAATAATCTTTTATGACTTTCTCTTTTTCCTGTAAATGACGTCGTTGCGGAAGCCGACGAGAGCGATATTATCCATGATTGTGCGTGCGTGAGAATTAGCATTACAATTATGGAAAGGTAGATCAAGTTGCCTTGCCGTCTAGCGCATCCGATGTTTAGAGAAACATTTTGATTCCCCCTCTTGTTTTTTTTCCACCCCCCCCCCTCCTCCCAATGACAACTCTCAAGAGTCAACCATGGTCACTGCACCTTGCAACTCAGAGTCAGGTCACTCCGCCACTTTCAGAGAGTCGCTTTAATGGGGAGGCAGGGCGGGCAGCGTCAGCTGAAGGTTTATTACTGTACCTCGACACCTGTCAGAGATGATTGGGCTGCGTAATTGAGGGTCAGAATGAAAGAGGCCATTCACAGCTGCCTCGTCTCTGACATGATGGCGTGACGCGCAGCAACGGTCAGTAATGTAAGAAGTCTCCGGAGAGCTTCTTCTGCTCGGCTCGAGTGGTGATTCGAGAAATGGATTCCACGCGGTTCGTCATTACAAGAGTGCTTCCCTCTAATATTCAGCTCCACCTGCTATTATGATTTATTTATCACGAGTGGGAACCCGTTCCTGTTCATACCATTTGGAAATGTGCTGGGACATTAGTGAAGGAATAAATCATTGTAGCTGTACATACAGTACATAGCACCGTTTTAGCACACCAGATTTTTGGTGGGCCAAGCTGTGATGCTATGTGGGGCAAAACACAGATTGACCACAGTGGGGGCCCGAACGGCTGCTACATCACCACGGACAGCGATAAAAAAAAGGCATCTGACCTTCTTCTCATAAATTCCGTGATTTTATAGTTGTCTAAAATTCCATTCAGAGTCTGTTACCAAACTTACCCTGTGGTGTGCTTTAGCTCTGGGCTGCTTTATTTTATGCCAGAGTCTCGATGAACCCCATAATGCCATTTGTATCATATTTGATACATGCATTTTCATTATGTAACTCATTCTTTATATTACATTAAATCATCTGTATCAAATTTGATACTGTAGGTTTAAAATATGATTTTCCCAAAATTGTCATTTTCAGATGTAATCTACATAATGCTTGTAAATGTGATACGACAAATATCTTCAACAACATGATATGGCAAAAATATTTTTGTGGATTTTGTTATCAGGGTTAATGAACATCTGAGTTCTCAAAAATTTGATTTTTCTGGCTACTCCTTGATGGGTCAGGCATGACAGGGTTAATAATTCCATTAATCTTGCATTCCTTGGTTTGTCTTCTAATACAGAGAATAACTTATTATTATTATTAACAATTTGAGTTACTGACTGTAGTGGTTGACTTTTTGATTATTTTTTTGTAACGACCGCCGACACCGACTATTAATGGGGCAAATTATGTTCCCAGGACATCACTGACCAACCTGTAATGTAACTTGTCATGGGAACCTCCGCTCAACACCAAGAAAAAGAGCAGGACATACAGTACAATGGAAATAACATTAATGGCATAATACATTTGCATGACTTGTCTTAAGACTTAACTTGACTCGACTTGCAGCTGCTTTAGTCGCCTGAATTGAATCGTTTTTGCCACTGAAGACTTGAAGGTAAAGACTCAAACTTTCTGTTGGCTAAATGCCTGCTCTGCTTTTTCCTGCCAGGTGGTGGGCCAGATCGATAAACTGACGTCAGACTTTGACTTTGACCTGGATCCAGATGACTGGACGGTGGCAACGGCGAGCAGCACGTCCAGCAGCGAGCGCGGCCTCGGGGAAGCCTTCCGCCTCGACTTCCTCAACGCCGACGTGCTGTCCGACAGCTGGGAGTTTTGCGGCTACCTGGAGTCGGCCAGTGGGGCTTGTGCGCGAACGCCCAGCGAGCTCCCGATGGGGTATTATCCCCGAGCGCCCACGGGCCGCGGGACCATACCCACACAGACGCCCAACCTGCCTGCGGCCGCCATGGCTTCAGTTTACTCGCAAATGAACGGCGGGCTGCCCATCCCCAACGGACCACGCATCATCACTCCAGATTCATCCAGCGAGGAGGCCAGCAGCTCCACACACAGCCACAAGACGAGGGAGCGGGTCAGATTCAGTGACAAGATCCTCTACCATGCACTGTGCTGCGACGACGATGACGAAGAGGAGCAGGAGGAACTACCGGATGACAAGAGCGGCCGCGCCACGCCTGACAGCGACAGCGAGCAGAGCCTCCTCGCCGAACCTCTCACACCCAAACGCTCTTCCTCCGAGCACTCGCTCCTCCACAACTGCCTCGACCCCTCTTACGTGCCCCCGTCGGCAAGAAGCATGACGGGAGCGCACACGTTACCCAGGAAAGGCCTCCTGAACCCCAGCTGCCGTAAAAAACTGCTCCGAAACAGCAGCACGCAAACTGTATCGGATAAGAGCACCCAAACTGTACTGCCCTATATTCCAAACAAACAGAAAACAAAGGAGCACTGAGCCAGCCAGAATTTCCCTCTGTTTATCATACAGCTCACCACAAGAACTGTGCATTGTTTAATATTAAATACATAGCTAATAGATTAATACACAAATAAATGAATTACTAAATAAAGAAATGCTATATGGGAAAAAAAAATCACTGGGCTCCCTAAATTCATTCCAAAGCTCAGGTTAGGAACATGCATTGAATCTTGGAAACAAAATTGAATTTGTCAACCTGTACCCTTACCCCCCCCCCCCAACCCAAACTATCGACTGTAACTGTGATTCAAATCCTTAACTTTAAAATGACCTGAACCCCCTCATTTTAACCCTCATCCCCCAGGCCCTACCTTAACCCTTTCCCCTAAACCTGGACCCAGTCCCCAAACCCAAACTTTAAACTAACTCTACCCCTGATCTCTAACACGAAACGATGTATTTCCCCCTTTTTTTGTTGTTTTTTTTTTGCCCCCCTTTTTCTGATCTCTTTCTTTATTTTCCAGACAGAGGGAAGACATTTTAATATATAAAACAATATATGTAAGAAATGTCTTTTTTTTTTTTTAACAAAAATCAATGCCTGTGTTTACCTCTGGGGTTAGAGCCTTCATCCATGGACCTAACCCCAATCTGTAACACTAACCAACAACTCCCGCTTTTAACCTTACCTGGAACATCTAACCTAAACTCCAACCTTTTATCCCCTAAAAATAAACTGCCATTCCATGACCTAAGCCCAAAACTAAACCCTTTCTCACCACACACCCTAATTTTAACGATAACCGCAAAATCAAACCTAAAACATCATTCTTATCCTAGCCCCTGATTCTAACAGCATCATTGCATCTTTGTTTTTCCATTTCAGGTTGTTGTCATGGCAACGTTGAGAACAAAATTTCACACTTGCCAATGTGATATCGAGTCAGGTTGATTTATGTAGCCCTAATTCACAATAGAAGCCAACTCAAGACACACTCAAGGTCGAGAAAAGTACTCCTCGCAGAAAATCGCCTGAACCCCCACGTGAGCAAGCACTACTGCAAGGTACACTGAACCAAGACTCAATGCAAGGCGGCAGTCTGCCTCGACTGGTCGGGTTATTTATGGAGAAGAATTTGGAGAAAAGTGAGTTTGAGGTGAGTCATGTTGTTTACGCTAGTGTTCGTACTCGGTTAGCATTAGCCAGCTAGGTTGCACACCTGAGTAGCTGTAACTGTCTGGCACAATTATCTTCACATCATTTCAGGTGGGTTTGCGGACGGATCGCTGATGCTGTTTACATTAGCTACTTGTAGAAAATTCCAAGCATTACCACTTAATGTGTTGTAGAAGCAATTTCTGGGCTTGTCTTGTTTTGCTATGCCTTGTAGAAGCTATTTCCGCACTTGTCCTGTTTTGCTATGCCTTAGCTCTGAACGTTGCGACACGGTTGAACGCGGGTGAAGTGAACCATTGTCAAAAAATTCGAATGGGCAACACTTCGCCGCACACCACACAAGTGAGCGCTGCGTATTTGTTTCCACTTTTTTTTTTTTTTTTTGCTGAGTAACTGTCATGTTTTGCGTGATGGCCGTAGACCCAAACAGCAGAGAGGCGAAGGAGGAGCAGGGTGGACTGAGCAAAATATATTAACAAAAAACAAACTCAAATACACAAAGTGCTGAAAACCACATGAAGTCAAAGTAATGAACAAACAAAACCGATGACAGAAACAAAACAACAAGACTGACAGAACCCAGGGAACTAAATACAAGCAAATTGACGAGACAAGAAACACCTAGACAAGGCACGAAGGGTTGACTGAGCTGATTGGTTAACACAAGGGACCCGGATGACAAGAACAGGTGGAGACAAAAAATGCGGGTTTCCGCAGTTGCTCAAGACTACAGACGCAAATGTCAGTGAAAATTACATCATACGTCTCAATCTCATGTTAGCAGAAGCAGATGAAAATTCCTTATACAATGCCTAACATTTCCTAGTTTCGCCCTCCTGTACGCCCAGCGGAGGTGTCCTTCAAGGCATCGGCTCAGAGCTAAATGGATTCAAAAAAAAAAAAATAAAAAAAGCCGCTAAGGATTTTGTCTCTCCATTGAGCGACTCAGTGGAGGATAGCAGTCGGTAGGAGAGTTTTTATTCAGAGAGCTAATGCCAATAGCCATTTCCGATCGATATGTTCCAGGGAGGGTGCTGCCAGACGGAACGGCGAACAAAAAAGTCACAGTCGGACCCATTTACTGAAACTAAAAGGCATTGTGGTCCTATAGAAGTGACATTTAGACAAAAAATAAGCATCCAAGAGTGAGAACTGAAGGGTGAATGTTACTGTTGAAAGATTTTTTTTTTTTTCTGTCCGCAGGCAGTAATCCACCCTGTGGATCAGCTTTGTTCGCCCGCTTCCACGCCGGCAACAGGCTAGCTTCCAGCCAATTTCCTGTTGAGTTTGTGAAGAGCAGTGAAAAATATTGTAGACTTGGAGTGAAAAGTTTGCTGGCACCTGTGAAGTTGACCTTTTTTATGCCTCACACTGCCCTGTAAGGATTCCTGACTCCTTGTAGGGAAGCCATTTTCCAAGGACCTGCTGTTCGAATCCCAACTCCAAATCAAAATAATTACAACAAACGTCCAAACGCCAAACGAATTGTTTCTTTTTTTGAATCTTTTGACCTTAGTATTCATGATCTGTTTCACAGAAAGGAATTGAATCAAATCAAATTGAATTCACGTAGGCATGCACTCTTTATTTTATTTATTGATATACATTTTTTAATGAAACAACTTAATGAATTGCAAATTATTTTATTTTGTGGGACCCAAAGCTAGGACTTGCAACCCCCCATGGGCCAATTTGAGAAGCTCGACATTTTAGTTGTAAAATTGTATTACACATCTCCCATTCATTTAAGTGCCAACAGTATCGTCCAAATGTGAATGAAATGTCAAATGTTGAAAATAATCAACAATGGAAATTGGATTCATCTCTTCAGGTTCAACCCCACATTTATTTCCAATGCAAATTTTCCCCATAAGAAACATTGGACGGAGAAATATTCTGTCTTCAATATTCCAATCATCTTCATTGTATTTCATCAAAGTAGAAAGAATCCATATTTTTCCTGCTGTCATTTTATTTTTTGCCCGTAAGAAATCCAAGAAATACAGTCGAAATCATCTGCCTTTGTTGTAGTTCATATTCAACATTCTGTCACTTTTGCTGTCGAAGAAAAAATATTCCATTCTAATCCTGATTTGCCGCGCCCTCATTTTCAATTTTCTTTACAAGAAATCATGAAAATTGAACTAAATGGTTTCCGTTCAACCTTCTATATTGCAATTACGATGCTCATCATTCATTCTTTTTGCCTCCTGACCTGTGAAGAAAGAAAGTGAGGAGACAGGAGACATTGAAATGAAAGCAATGGCCGCTTCCTCCCTGCAGCAGCGGCTGCCATTTTACAGCGAGATTGCGGAGCAAAGAGGTCATCGCAGTCATTAGCATAAACAAACAATGCCGGGCCACCACACAGGCAAAGCATCAATTACAGCAAAAACAAACTAAACTCTCATTGTGATGCCCAAACAGCCTCCAGAAGCCGCCGTGCCAAAGGCCTGTGTGTGTGTGTGTGTGTGTGTGTGTGTGTGTGTGTGTGTGTGTGTGTGTGTGTGTGTGTGTGTGTGTGTGTGTTTTTTTTTTTTTTTTTTTTTCTCCCTCGAAAATGCCTCCGATTCCCAAGGCCTCGATCACGCTATCGTGCTGACATGGTGTCATCTTACAGAGGAAATGAAAGGCCTGTTGGTGACAAATCAACGCTGACAAGAGTATTTGAAGAGATCCCTCCAAGTGTGTGTGTGTGTGTGTGTGTGTGTGTGTGTGTGTGTGTGTGTCTTTTTTTTTTTTTATTATTCCCTGCCTCGTAAAGATTTTAAAAGTCATCTCTGATATGAATCATCAATATAACGGGCAGATTCAAAATGTTTGGTCAAAGCGCTGTCTCTTTTGTCAAATGGCTCATTATTCATTTCCATTAGGAAAGGAAACCCTCTCCGAATGTCACATTTCAGTGCGGTGAATCTGCATCGACGGTCTGTCGTCAGCGCATAAAACAGATGCCACGTTTGTTTTTTAAAACTTTTTATTTAGTTGTATTTTTTTTATACTGGATAGCATAAGTACCCTTTCTCGGAGATTCTTTTGAAACACTTGCACAACACAACCAAAAGACGTTCAGTGCAAACTTCTGTTTGTACGATTAGATACGTGGTGGTAGACATTTTGTAGCCACTGAAAATATTTCTGAAATTGTTTGAGTGACAACCGCATCTCTCCAAAATGTTGGATTTGTTGAATAGTGGATCTCCAAATCGCGTGAGCAATGAAGAAATAGTGTGACTTCAAATCTCGTGACCAATGAAACCCAACGGACTCATTTGTGTGGGCGTATGCATTATGCATGCGGCACATTCACACGAGTTTGACCCGCTTGATTGGTCAAATAATTGCAATGTTGAGGGCCAATCACGCAGGAGGAAGGCCGGCATGAAAAAGGTGAGTGAGACACAAAAACAGCCCCCCTTGCTCACCCTTCATATGAAATTACCGCACTTCACTCTTAGTGCCTCCATCAGTACTTTGCGGAAGTGCGCGTGCATGCGTGTGCGTGTAGGATTAGTAGTAGAACAAATGTGTGTTTGCGCTGCTGATTGCTGAAGCTCGTGAAGCAGTGAGCTCAATGCAGTCCCATTGATGACTATGGATCGGTTTGCTCCCTCAGCTTGATTTGTTTCATCTTTTTGGAGGACCATTTATATCCTGCCTCTACGAGAGCAAACCATTTCATTTGCCACCTCCTGCTGCCACCAATTTGCATTTACTATTTAAGTATTGGATTGGGTGAAGGGAAAAAAAACAATCTGACATTGGAACCTTTGTTCATGAACATCACGATCAGAAATATTGCCTTGCTTCACGGACAACTTCAGTTCATGAACGGTACGCTTGTGCTTTTTCTCGTGCC